TTCACTGCAGCTTCTCTAACAACTCATGCTGTGTTACTCTTGCTCTTTATTGCTGTGCTCTTTATTGCTGTGAAATTCTTCTTTTCCCTTTTTTCTTCATGCAGGAAGGGCTTGGGGAGTGAGGTGATTTACCTGTAAAGGTGGGAGAAGATAGTTCTAGGCAATACTGAAGTAAGTCTTGGAGACTCTTCAGTTGCTGTCAGCACGGACTATTCCAGAATAAAGCATGGGATGGCCTCCGAGCTGTCTCTTCAGATTGATGATGGGTTTGGCTGTTGTACTGCCAATTATAAATACACAAAAGCGTGGTATCACATGGGGGACAATGTGGTTGCAGGGGAATATTTTTGGATAGAGGGCAGTGCCTCAAAACATGTTTATTCTAAAGTTTTTGTACCTCTGGGTTCTTCTCTACTTTGTAGAAAGAGGGACTACCTGAGACTAAAAACACCTTTTTTATGCTGAATCTCTCTTATCTGTGGAGTTCTCTCTCTCCATTCATGTAGTAGTTCTGAGCAGTACCCGTGGTCTGAAGTTCACTGTTGTGCAAGAGCTGTCCATGGCCAGCCTGTGATGACACTCATCCTGGAGCCTGCGGACCGAGCTCTGATGAAATGCAGTGCGTCATGTGGAACGTGGCCCTGGACGCGCTGACAGGCAGCGGTGCTTCTCCTGCAGAGACCCTGTCTGGCCATAACCTTTCACGGCTGTGATATCACTCTTGTGAATCGCTCTGTCCTACTGAGGTTGGAAACCCCTTGCTTAGCTGTACCTATCAGCTCCTAGCAAGCTGGTTTAGTTTGACTAGGGGAAATCCCCTACTCAGTTTCCTTCCTTGTCCATCCTGATATGAGTGTGTGGGAGAGACAGATTCCTTTATGCTAGTAAAGATGCACATAGTTCATAYGACACTAGAGGACTTCATCTCATTGGCTTCCTGGGTCAGATCAGGAGGTTCGAATTCCCAGTCCAAGCCTGCTTGGATGGAACAGGAGTCCTGTACTCCYGACTCTTTTGCATTGCTGCCAATACTTAGGGTTTTTATTCAGGTTGTAGCCAAAGGAACATGGTTATGGCAGAGATCTTGACTAAGATTATAGCTGCTTATCTACAGGCAGGCCTAGCAGTGCTGACATACTTGCTGGGAAACGAGTGATTCAGTGGCACGAGGAGCTGTGGGCAGGCAGACAGCTGGTGAGTGATGAGGGGGCTGCAATTGGCAAACGATGCACTTGGTGACAGCAGGATGCCCAAGATGGCAATAGTGAGGAACTGCTTTATATGGACAAAGCAGAAGTCACACCTCTTCATGGGGCACTCTATGCCGGGAGGACTGATGTGGATTCCTAGATGTGCTGAGTCTGCAGTGCACATCCCTTTCTGGTTGATCTGTGAGGCCAAGGTGTTAAAACCTAGGGCTCTTCAGATCAGTGCCTTACTGTCAGCAAAGGGTCTGCTACAATGCATGTGATGTGATATGAGTGGGCTAATACTCTTTAATGTTGGTCAATGTTGGTAAGTTGTTCACTGAGAACAACGTGCCAGAGGTCCCTCTGTGCTTGCTCTGTGGTGGCAAGTTGAAATCCYGTGGATAGGCCTTGGGGAAGAAGCTCTTGGGCAGGACCCTTGTGTGAGAAGCTCACTCCTCAGTGAGCTCCTAATGCCTGGCAATGTGTGGCATTAATGCTCTGCTTCATGGTCAACTGGCCCAGCAGAGACTCCAGCCCCAGAAGAACCAAGAACTGCTCTTTCATCCTAGGCTTTCCAGGATGGAGAATTAGTACTGTTTAGCTTCTAGCAGTCCTTGTGTCTAGTTGTCAAGTGAATGAGCTGTGTGAATGCCTGCTGTTGCTGAGAGCCAAGCCCAAATGCTCCATCCATGTATCTGGAGAAAAGGGTGCAGCCATAAGGTTAACAGGGTCAGGGTGGAGGTGTGGAAAGAAGTTTAGTTCGTGTTCAAGATGATGAACTGGGGAAAACCTCACTTGTAAAGTTACTCCTATTGGTCTGTTATTTCACTCTTGATAATTTCTGGAAAGAAAGGATTTGGGAAGATTCATTTCCCAGCTGAGGCAAATCCTGTAACTTCTTGGAAACAGGTTTCATGTGGGTGTTAGGTTTTAACACYCTCTAGTTATCTGCTCTAGCATTGCAGAAAATGAAAGTAACTGTGAAAAACAGTTTGCTTTRAAGGATGGCTCAACAACAGAAAGTTCTCAGGCCCTGGTGCTTTATGGGAGGAGGAGGCAGAAGACAAAAATACTGCGTGGTTCCTGCCACAGAGTCTGAGAATCTCTGTGACCTTCCCTGAGCTAGAGAGGCTTGTTTGGGGTTTCTGTCCAACCTGTAGAAGTGGCTGAACTGCACTCAGCTGCTCGGGCAGGGCAGAAGGGCTGCTGTGGGTCTCGGAAGGCCCCAAGCAAAGGGGCATTGGGGGAGATCTTGTGCAACTCCTCAGAGGATGACTCGGGCCAAGGGCCCTCCATTTCCTAGGAAGGGAGGCTGGGGATCCTCTTCCTGCAGGGGGGTATGTGGAGGCAGCTCTGTGCTGGCCCTGCACAACAGCCCCGGCCTCTGTCCCCTTGTCCCTGCTCCCTCCCTTTGAACACAGTAGGTGCTGGCACGAGGAGGACAGAGCTGGCAGAGGTCCCCATTGCCGAGGTTAAGTTCACAGCATTACTGCTCTGACTGAAAAACAAAGCCCAACTAGTCTCGGTTTGGAAGCTGTTAAACAGCCAGTGCAGTCAAGTGACAGAGTTGCCCAACCAGTTTTCTGTAATCAATGCATTTTTACTGCAGCATGTGCTGTTTTTAGTCAGTGTGGAAATCTTTCTGGACTTCACCTGCAGTGTTTACTTTGCAAATAACTTTCTAATATAGGATAATCAAAGAGATAAATCCACTCAGCTGTATTGTTTTTTTTTCCTTCTGCTTTATAATTTTARTAAGTTGTTGTTTTGGGGGGAGAGGGAATGGATGATGTCTGGCATAGTTATTGCTGTGTGCTTTTTCTTTTCATTTTCCTCTTTCCCCTGGCAGATGTATTAGTTTTACTGTATGGAAAAAAAATGCTTAAATTGGGGAAATAGTCCTGCAAATAGACTGTCATGCTGTGCATGCATGAGTGTAAGGACTGAAAATAGCCAAGAACGTTCTCAATTTCTCAATTGTAGGAACTGACCTGCTTAAATATTGGCTTTAGAGTTGAAGTGTGAAATCCAGATGTTCTTAAAATCAGATTGCATCCTTTACAAATACAGAGTGACGATGGGTGCTTCTAAACACATCTCTGATGCCAAAGCGTGAGTTGGTTTTTATACCACTGGTTTAGGTTTATAAATATCTAATCGCTTCCTCTCGAGCATTGGTGACGCATCTCTAAAATAGTTCCCACCACCCCCTAAACTGACAACATCTGCTGCTTAGCTGTAAAACGTGCGGCAGAACCTCTGCAACCCTAGACAGTTCCCCAGGTGCTTTCTAACCGGCCTCTCAACTGGAGGAGGCTGTTGCTTGTCAGACCACTAACATAACAGCGTCTTAAGTGCAAGTGTCTGACAGCAAAGCTCTGCCTTATCAGGTGCGCTAGGAGCAGATCTGCCTCTGCAGTTTGTTTCCGCAGCGTTCCTGCAGCGCTCGTAGTGGCGTGTTTTGCTTTAGCTCAKGCCTCTTGCCACAGGGATGGCCAGCTCCGTGCCATAGGGATGGTTGTCCCCGTGCTGTCCCTGTGCGCTCCGCGGGCTCTTCAGCTTGCCTGTGCTTCACAGCCCTGTCCTTGGGCCTGGCTCATCTCGCTGGTCGCAGTCCCTGCTTTGTTGACAGCTGAGCGCTGTGCAGCGGTTCGCAGGCTGATGCGGCGGTCCCTGCTATCTCCTGACTTTGCCCTTTGTGGTGTGCTTAGCCCTGAGCACAATCTCTTCTAGTTAGAAGGCAGAGACTTCTACTTAAGATAAGAAGCAATTATCTCTTGAGTAGATGGTGTAAGAGACAAGCTTTGTTCAGCGTGAACTTTTTTCCTTGCTCCTGCTTTCCAAACTTGTGCTATGGGGACAGAAATAGAGTTTTTTGCTTGCCTTGATACTTTCCTCTAGAAATTTTTCTTGGAAAAGAAACTGTAGCTGTCAGTGTGTAGCTATATGTCTTCATCTGCCTCCACAACAGTGGCTTTAATCAGGATTCTTTTCTCAACTAGCAGCCCTAATTTCCACCTCATATCCTGCTATCAGTATGAACTCAAAGGGATGCTGTTGGGAAAATCTCYATCTTAAACATGATTGTGATTCTGTTTTCAGGGCTGTGATACAGCTGGTATCATCTCAGTGGAGTTTAAAGAAATTCAGTGAATTCAGACCTACATTTTTCCAGGCTCCACAGTTACTTGGTCGCCAGAGACCAGWCGCACCTCCTGGGTGCGTGAAGAGTTGGGGCAGTTGAATGCTAATGTGGACAAGAGGAGCTCCCACAGATATCTTTGCATGTTAACAGGACAGTAACTTGGCTCTTCCCTGCCCTTAGGGCAGTGCTGCACTTTGTTTACAAGGACTTAGCCGCTTTGCTGTTATTCATTAACAGGTGCTGTTGAACTGCTGGGTGAAGCTGTTGCTGCTTATCCCTGATGGCCGGGAGTGCCACATAACTCATCCTGTGTGGGGGTGGAGAGGCATTCCCTGTCTCTCCCAGGGCTTTGGGAGGTAAAGGAYTTGAAATCCCATGGAAGTTGGGCTGTGTTTAGGCCATCTGCCATTAAAAATAGTGGCMTTCTGAGCTGCCTCTTGAGCTGTTCTTGCGTGCAGGTGCCAGGCTTGGAGCTGGCTGTAGGAATGACTGTTTAGTGATTTCTAATCCTCAGCTGGCTTCTGTGTGTCTCTAGCCTGGAACAGCTGCCTGTGGTTCTGATCTCTGTGTTGGAGACTGAGCTGTGCAGCTGCCTCTGCCAGCTCTGGAGGAGGACGCAAGTTCCTTAAAAGAGTAACTGCTCTGGCCTTAGTATTGGCATTGACTTTACACAAATTAACATGCAGGTAAGGAAACTTATGGAAGCAGCAGCTTTCTGATCTTCTGGTTTGCCAAATGTTCCCTGGATAGAACCAGTTCTGTGACCAGAGAATCCCCTGCAGATGGGACAGCTTCTTCCAGGCTATGTATATGCGCTCAAATGTGCCCCCTCTCCTGCTTGATGCACTGTGGTTGGAGCTGACCTTCAGGGCTCACTGCTCATGCGTGTTTGTTCGCTCTCTTGGAGAGTTCAGAGGACCTTTGTGCTTGCTGTGAACCACAGTGTGGTGGCTGCTTCCACAAACTGATCTCCTGGTTTGTGTGAAGGGTGCTCCAGCTCGTCGTCTCCTTTGCCACTCTTGTAACTGAGCCCCTTATTTGCACGGTGCAGCAACCGGGCAGTTTGGGTGCGCTGCCTGTCAGAGCTGATCAGGAGGAATCCTGCACTGCAAGAGCTAGGCTGGTGCTGCACATGAAGGCTGAACGTCTACGAGCGGAGCTGCAGGCCCGGAGCCCAGTGCCATAAATGTCACTTCAGTGAGAAGTGCCTGCTGGGKGGGAGCAGTGCAGCATCCGTGTCAAGAGAGCAGAATTACAATTAAAAATTAACTCTGCCTCCCAGCCCCCTGATGTGGCYGTAACATCTGTGCACGGGCTCCTCCTCGCGTGTCGGGGTCGGTCACAGCTCCTGGTGCCACTGGCCATGAGGAGAAGTGTTCAGGTTTCCTGGTCTCACCGGCCACGGTCACCCCGTGCAGGAAGGGGCTTGAGGTATCGCAGGCTCCTGTTACAACAATAAATGAATCCCTGAGCTGTGACAAGGCTCTTCTGCTGTCACTAACAAAGCAGGCYTCTGTTTGCCTCTCCTCAGCCACGTGTGTCCTGGATCTTGTGCTCCACATACTGGTTTTGCTGCCTTCCCTTTTGCTGGGAGAAGGACGAGCCTGAAAGCTGGAGGTGGTGAAGGGGGCAGTGGGTTGTCCCTTGGTGCCTCCTTTGCCTGTGGAGACCTGAGCATTGATCCTCCCCCTGGGGAACCCCAAGGCCCTGGTGCAGTTAATGCCTTCCTGGGATTAGCTCTCACTGCAGGTTTAAGGGCTGAAGCCAGGCTAAGACACAGGATTAAATTGTGCAGAAGCAGACTGGGTTGTTTGACAACCAAGTTCTAAGAGCAGCAGTGCTACAAAGAGATGCAGAAATGATCCCTCATCCTTTTGAAGGATGGGCAGTGAGGGGCTAGGAGAAATGCTACATATGCAGAAGTACAGTTGCTCATCAACTCCCCTGGAGAATGGAGTTGAAAATTAGAGGCACACGGGCAGAAATGTTGAAAAGAAAGGGTGGGACAGCTTAGTTAAGCAAAAATTCAAATGGTTGAAGTAGTTGGGGTGGAGAAGAAAGGGAGGAAGCCAAGAACAGTGGCAGACACCGGTGAAGTGAGAGCTGGAGAGCCCGTGTGCCCGGTGTTTGCTGGCATTGCTGCAGGGTGTTAAGGCTCAGAGCTTGGCTGGCTTTGAAGGAGAGCGTTCAGCTCAGGCTGCCACGGACACGGCCAGCAGCGCCCAACAAGACTCCAGGGTTTAACCGGGCGCTTAACTGCTTGGGGCCGGAGCGCGAGCTGTGCAGGGCGAGCGTGTGGGTCGCTCTGCTCTGAGGCGGCTGTCGAGCTTGTCGAAGGAACTGCTGAAGTTGCATGGGCCACAGATGCGAGTGGTTGCGGTGACTCTTAGCCCCGCTGCTTCCCAGCCCGGCCCTTCCCGCGCTTTGCCCAGCGGCTGCCTGGGTGCCGCAGTGGGGCTGGGCCCCGCGCTGAGCTGCACGGGCAGCGCTGCCTTCAGCCCCGCGGGGCGGCCTGCAAACAGCTGCTTGGAAGCCTGGTTAGTTACAACAGCGCTTGCACCCTGGTTGAGCTCCAGAATTAACCTAAATATTTAATAGGATTAAGCGAAAGCCTTTGACCGAAACAAAGGCGGCGCTGGGCTCCTTCCGAGCGGCGCTTGACCCGCTCTGGCTGGCGGCGGGAAGCCCCCAACTTGCTGCCTGCGAGGGCTGGCTCTGTGTCGGCTGCACGGGCCCGTCGGGCTCTCCCAGCCCTCCTGGGGATGCCCAGGTGCCTGGTCGGTGGGAAACAGGCAGCTTCTGAGGGCAAGTCCTGAGGAACTCGGGCCTTCCACCACCTCTGCGGGAAGCACGGTGGGCATGAGGAGGAGGAAGCTGGAAAGCTGACTGCCCGAACAGATCTCCCCACATCCCCATCTGTCATTCGGCTTTGGTGCTTCCCGAGGAGGAGAAAAATTCCAGCAGTGAAGAGGGAGAAAAGCCCCCACCTCGATCCCAGCAGCCTAACTTCCGAACCCTTTGCTATCAGATCAGCCAGGACTGGGGTAGCTTGTGGTAGCAGGGATCTGTTTTCCATGGAGTCCTGCAGTGCAGAGATGTCATGAGGACCCTCTGCTATCTGGCTGTTCGCTGGGCAGTAGCCAGAGCCACCTTCCCCTTCTTTCCTCCAATGATCCAAATTTGCCCAAGTTCCAGAAGCACTAGTTGAGCAGGACTAACTTCAGATATAGTAGAAATATAAATGCTTTACCATGACCTGACGAGCTACAGTGAGAAGGAACGTGTTGCAGAGGCTGTTCTTTGCACCCTAGGTTCTTCTGTGCGTACCTACCCCGTGCTTTCCTGTGCTGCAGCTGCATCTGCCTGCTCTGCATTTCGTGGTAGCCATCCAACAAACCGAAACTGCTGTCCCGTCTCTTCAGTGCTCTCCCATTGCTTCCAGCTTGTGAGGGTGTCTTTGGAAACGGAGCTGTTAAACTTGCCCGCCTTTGTTGTGGATGAGTTGGTTGCGTGTGACTGGAGCAGACCACTAAATTCATGAGCTGCCAAGTTGTGGAGCGTTGAGCTGCCTGCAGGAAGCTTCGTGTGGAGCTGCCTTTTAAATTGACCTCTTGGCCTTACTCTTCTGTGTTCCTTCAACTACTGTTTTGGGGGAGGGAATAGGGCTAGTGAGCTCTGCAGAGAAGTGCTTCACTTCCCTCAGCTGTGACTGGCAGCCACTGTTGACGTTTTGGCTGGTGCTGTTAATGCGACGTCCTTGTAAACAGTGATGAAACTAGCAGCGTATTTGATTAAATCCCTTCTGTAACTGCTGCAAGCCCTCTCACTCCTCAGGAGATCTTGGCAGCTGGGGCTGCTCATGCTAATGACTGGGTTGGCTTTTCTTTGCTGCCCTGGAAAGGCAGCCCTGTGTTGAACGTGCTTTCTGTGTGCTTGCTCAGAGATGCGGCCAGTGATGCAGGGGCTTGCACGGGTGTTGCACAGGGTGCCTGGGGACACGATACTAACACATCTGGCTGTCTTTCTGCTTTCGTTTTAGATCCTGTAAGTGAAAGAAGATGGGGTCTGGCTGCCTAAAAGTCACCAAATACTTCCTTTTCCTCTTCAACCTCCTGTTCCTTGTAAGTATCTTGAGTGTCTGCAGAATAGATGGGAAGTCTTGAACTAAAGCCTGTCAGAAAGCTGGTTTCTCTGAACGCTCTCTTAGTGTGTTCATGAAACAGAACAGCCAGAGTTTTGGAAGAGATGGGAAAGGGTGGGAGTCCCTGAAGCTAAGGGGCATCACAGCTATTGTGTCACTCTCAGTGCCCACCTGCTAGGTCTAATGCCCTTGGTTCCTTCAGTAGGAAAGGAAGAGGGAGGCTTGTTTTTTTTACAACAGATACTGCCACATCTGGAGCAGCAGCTGAGCTGCCCCTGAGCAGCCAAGCTACAAAACCTGCTGAGGAACAGAAGTGCTCCCTTAAATAGGCCAGGGAGGCTTCAGAGAACAATTCTAATTTTGTTTCAAGTCCCAACGGCTGGTTTTGATTTTTAACAAGTTGACTTGGTCCAAGTCATCTCTTTGAAATGGAATTTGGAGGAGGGGGGGCTTAGGTCTAGCTTGTTTGGAGAAATGAGGCAGCCCACTGAATGGACTTGCTTTTGAGCGTGAGCTTTAGCAAAAGCTCAAGTCTGAGCTCCTTTTGGATCCGTGTTGGTTGGGAAGGGCCTGAGTTTTGAGGGAGGCGGGATAGCTTGGCTGCATGACCCCGGCTGGGCTATTGCCCTTCCTCCCACACGTGTTCTCCCATGCATCCTTCCATGAGGCTTGAATAGCTGTTGTCTAAGAGGGAGGCTGGCCTGGGCTGGGGCTCGTGCTGCTGGGGCTGCCCTAATGAAGGGAGATGGCCTAGTAGGGAAGTGTATGATTGAGGACATGAGGAAATCCCAAAGAAAATAGCCTGTCCTATCTTACTAATCTCTGTGCAGCATATAAGGGGAAGGAAGGGCCGAGATGGGAAGGAAACCAAGCATGATACGGTGCGTGCTGCTTTCTGATCTGTCTCTGAGCATGGCTTTGCTCTTGCCTCCCGCACTGCTTTGCTGTGCTACGGAGGCTGGAGCACAGGCTCAGGTTTGTAAGCAGCACATCTGGATCTGGTTTCCCTTGGCTTGCCCTGCTGGCTCTTTTCTCTCCATGTGCTGCTTCCATCTTAAGAGAATTTACTTCTGGTCTAAGAGCTGAAGGTCAGAGAYGCTTAAAGGCATGGATGGGGAAAAGGGAGACTTTTAAAGCACCACTAGAGCTTTTGGACATCAATTTGTTCAGCTTTAAGTCTGTCCAAGATCTGTATGGTCCTTCCTCCTACTAGTGCCAAACCCCTCTGAAGTATTAGGATCCAGGCTACCTCATCTTGTGAAGCAATGATATATTTTTAAAGCAGCTTATAACTTAACCTATGGGACCCTAGGAAGCAGAGCTGCTTATATAGGGCTATTGTCTGAATGACAGTCTCCCTCAAGCCATCCACTGGGCCCTTCCTAGCCCATCTCTGCCTTAAACTTGGACTACAGTCAGAGTTATGAAGTGATGGGCTCACGTGGCCCTCAGGGTAGCCACAGTATCTCTTTGGAAAGGTGCTGTCCTCTATTTTTTTTTTAATGGAAACTTGACCTTCATCTACTCACAGGTTGTGTCAAGGGGAAGCAGTGGGGAAGGAGGTGGTGTTTTTGAGCTGCCACATGCACAGGGACTCTACACAACCCTGTGGAGAGGAAGTTCCCTTCAGAGAYTCTGGCCCAGTACAGGAGAGGAAAGGAGATACTCAATGGCCTGAAGCACTGAGGTGCCCTATGGCATCGCTGCTTTTGCTGTTGGTGCCTGAGCAGTGGCTGTCACGTCTGTTCCGCGTGGCCCTTGTCTTGCTGCTCAGTGAGACGTGGTCCTGGGCAGCCCCTGGCGATAGCCGAGGTGTCAGGAGGCAGTGCTGCTGCTGCGCTGGGCTCATCCAGGCCTGGAATTGCCAGAATGCAGCATTTTCCTGTATTTGGTAAGACTTCAGGGGGATGGTGGGCACCAGATCCCTCCATGGGGACTGCCATCCCTCCCCTGGGGAGCCCCAGCCCTCTGGTCAGGTTGCAGGTGATGGGAAATGGCTGTTCTCTGGGAGACTTTCATGGCTGTTCTCTGGGAGACTTTCAGCTATTCCTTGTCCTAGGCAAAGCCTGTCCCAAACCAACTCCTCTGGTTTAGCTTTAACCTCTTTAGTAAGCCTGCTTTTCAGCACAGGCCTCATGGAGAGGTGGTATCTAAAGCTGCTGTGGTTTGGTGAGGTGCTTGATACTCTAGAGTGAAGATTTGGAGCRTGCTTCTCAATTGCTAGCATGCTTCTTGCACATCCCTAGTGCTGAGAAAGGCAACATCCATTTCTCCCCACTGGCATAGCGTGTAGTTGACACAAGGCTTTTTCCTGTTACAGCTGTTCAAGGTCTGGATGGATATTCTTAAGCTTGGACTACACTAGAGTGTTTCTAGATTAGTATTACTGTACTGGAGAAACTGCAGTTGCTGTGAGCCCCTGACACGGACAGGTTCTGCAAACCTAGTAATGATTTACCAGGGAGAGGTTGTTTTGTTGTGGAGAACACCTGGCTGTGGGCCCACAAAGCTGTTCCTATCTCTTCTCCTGCCCTGTTAAACTTTCTGCTGCTGTGTCAAGGCTGAGGGCAGTTGGGCTTGGCAATGAAACTTGTGTGCTGGGCAGTCATTCCCACTTATCTGTTTTCCATGTGCAACTTAAGGTGGCTATTTGTTTCYTGCACATCCACATGGATGGCACCAATCTCTTGTGCTTGCATATATATGAATGCTAATAGTACTGGTAATGGGGATCTGTGGAGCTTCTAGTTGTGTCCTATGCAAGCCAGCCTTCTCTAGTCTGAAGTATGTTCTCCAGCCTAGTCAAGACTCGGTATGTCCCTTCATCAGTAGCAAACATGGGCCACAGTAGATGGTTCTCGTTAAAGGGAAAGCTGTTCCCTCAAATAGGTTCAGCAGCCTCTGGAAACTATTTGTTTAGACTGGCTACTTGTTCTACTTAAAACAGTCCTGCAGATGGCACAGAAAGCTACCTTAAACAAAGGCTTGAGCTTAAGATCCCTTCTGTTGGCCTCTCTGCCAGGCTCAGACCTGCCTCGCACAGCCTGGGYGTGAAGGAGGGTGATGTTGGCAGAGCACAGCCAGGGATCTGCTGCTGTTTCTGGGAAGGCAGGTTGGCTCCTGCACTGAAGCAGCCTGTCTCTGATGCTGACATGGGGAYGTCCTTGGGTCTTGTGCGCTGTGGGGCTTGCAGTTCAGTAGCAGCTTCATTCTGCAGTGCCCCTGCTCACCAGGTTGTGCTGTGGGAAACCAGCTGCCCGACTGTCCCTTGCCTGCTGCCTCTGGCCCTGTGCTCGATGGAACTGCATCCTTCTGGCTTCTGGAGTGATCCTGCTGAAGTCTTGCCCTCTGGGGTGGTGTGGGGAAGAGACATCCCCATTCCACCTCCGTAGTGCAAAGTACTGGAACAGATTAATTCACTTCCACAGGAGGAAGATGTAATTCCTCTATGGAGGATCTGAAGCCAAGCTATTGGTGGAAGCAGCCTTGCTATGCTGAGCAGACTCTTGTGGAGACTAAGGGGAGATGTTGTCCTGATAGGAAATAACAAAAAACAACAATAATGTTAATGAGACTTTCTCTCCTTGAGGTTTTTTTCTTCCCTGTCATGCCCCTCTTAGTACTTYCTACAGCCGCTCCTGGCAAATGCACAAGTTGTGGATTGGGGCAGAGATCAGAGTGAAAACAGGCCTTGGATGTCCAGGCCTTGGATAGCGCGGGTTCCTCAGAGCAAACAACTTCCCGGGAACRCGGCTCAGCAGGAGTCTGTGTTCTGTCAGCAGCAGCACAAGTTAGGTGACGTTGCAGGGTCAGTGAGCCAAAAGAGATGTCGCATTTGGCMTGGTTTGCATCTCTGCTCAAGACAAATATTTAAGCTATGTGTTAAATATAAGACTGTCTCCCAAACTTTAGATTCAGTTCTTGGCAATACCCAGTTTGAGGGGAAATTTTTAGGAGTTTCCAGCTGTCGCGTGGTCCAGGGCTGCTCCCGTGTGACTGCGGTGTCACGCGGTGCTGCGAGGGCCAGTTCTTGTTGCTGCCACCTCGTCACTTCTCTGGGAGACGAGTTGTGTGATTTGAGCAGCCGCCTCGGWCAAGTCCGTCCGTCAACAAGCCCTGGGAACCTGCCCGGTGAGTTTCTAACGCAGTTCCCAGGGCTAACTGCGTGTTATGCCTTACACCAAGCCAGAAGAGCTTGCAAGCATCTTGTTTCAGTGTTACTTTACCTTAGCTCTGAAAAACTTCCTTATTTGAGGGGTTGAAGCATAGTTTAAACTTTCAAAAWGCAGGTGCTGCTGCCTGCCAGCTTGCTTCAGGTGATGGTTTGGTATTTTCCTTGTCTCCCAAATACCTGGGAATCATCTAATGAAGTTCAGAACTGTCATTTGCCTTCACCCTTGTTGATTTATTTAGTACTTCAGCCTGTCTTGAAATCCTGCTGGTGTAGGAGCTCACCTGCAGGTCCTCTCCTTTGGAACCGTCTTATATAAAACCTGCTTGGACGCAGCCCTGTGCCACGTGCTCTAATTGACYCTGTGTGAGCAGGGAGGTTGGACAAGATGACCTCTGTGGTCCCTTCCAACCTTAAGCATTCTGTGTTTCTGTGATATTCTCCTTGTCCCTGTCCTGTTTCATCAAAGTCTGTTTGAGGTATTTGCACAGTAAGTGGCTTCCAGCTGTTGCCACTGCTAACTGGCTGAGTGGCACAAGTTCCTGCCTTGTATCAAACCTGACAACTTGCAGGGTTCTCAGCGGAGTGACTTTGTGAAAGCACTGCAGGGCTCTGATCCTCCTTTGGGGTGGTGAGGACCTGCATGCAAGCAACTCGGAGCAACAGAAAACACTGGGATACCCATAAAATAAAATGAGGATACCTTCCCCCCACCACTTTCAAACAAGACTGGGGAGGGATGAATGTCCCTTGCTTTCTTGGTTCYATGTCTGGACTCCTCTGAGTGCTCACAGGAATATAGTGCTCTGCTAATCCATGCCCCAGATAGACTGCATGGTAGGAGATGGGGACCATGGCTGCTGTTTTATAGCACTTGATTTTTCTGTTGGTGGGCAGAWGAGATGTTTCTGCTGGAGGGCTCGAAGGGCTGGCGTATTCTGGGGCACAAGCTGAGGTGCCTTGGCCTGACTTGGGCAGGGGCACGTTGTGTAAAGCACTTCAAGGAAACCTGCATACCAAGAGAACTTGTACGTTTGTTGTTTGGAGCCGTAACAATACATCAGTCTGGCAAAGCCTAGGTTTCCTYCCTGGGAAAGTTCCAGCTGCCACATACCGAATCCTCTGGCTATTGGTTCCCAGCCTGGCCYGTATGGTCAAGGCTTTCTCTATTCAAAAGACCTTTTAAATCATGTGTGGTAGATACTTGTGCTCCTCCAGGTCTCTGCAGAAGCCGAGCACTGTTAGCTTGTGCTTSTGTAGACAGCAAGGCTCTGGCAGCAGGAGATGCTCTCGCCAGGCTGTTCGCAGCCGCCTCCGGTACAACATCACGTACTACTGAAATTCCCTGTGAAGAACTGCCAAGCAGAACCTGGGGCTCCTGTGCAGTTGGCCAGGGCTGTCTTCCTGAAGTGATGCTAATCCTGTTTGCTTTGGGAGGGGTGCCCTGAGGAGATGGGTGGGAGCAGCAGAAGAATGACTTGTTTTCTTCCCTGGAAGTGTAGAGAATGGTGGTTGCTGCTGCTTACTTTACACGTGCATGTTAATAAGCTAGTAATATGTATTCCTTCTCTTTTCAGATCCTGGGTGCTGTGATCCTGGGTTTTGGAATATGGATTCTGGCCGACAAAACCAGTTTCATTGCAGTTCTACGTAAGACCCCACTTAGGCATCATCTTTTCTCTTCTGAACTGACTGCAGTCTGGGGCTATGTGTGACCATGATGTAGTTTGGGGGTGATGCTGCTGTTGTGTGGGTGTGTGCCCRGGAAAGCAACCTGGTGTATAAGCAGAGACTCTAGCAAGGACAGGGTGAAAGGGAGAAACACTGGGGAAAGGATTTCTCCCAGTCTCRTGCCCTGAAACACCAAGGTCACTCTGAATAACACCATTGCCTCTTGATTCAATAGTACAGAATACTTTATACCCTTTATGTGCAAGATGAAAAAAAATTATCCTATTTTCACTGCCTGTTTTTTCAACAGTTTCCTTTTTACCATCCTGTCTTGAGACCCCTCAGTGCTTTAATGAAATGGATCGTTACAGTGGGTACTTAAGGGTCTCTTGTAGCAAAATTAAATTTAAATATTTTAAATGCAAAAGGGAGAGCGCACCTGGTTTTACTGATTTATATATGCTGTAATATGAAGTTCATACTTGTTCCTGAGCAGTAGTGAATGCAAATTCAGATACAGAGCGGGAGGGAGGAGATGTGGGGCTGTGAAGTGGCTTCTGAAGTGCCCTGGGTGGCACACGCTTCACAGGAGACTGCCCTGAGCCTGAGGGCCCTGTGCCCCCATGCTAGCAGTCCTCCTTCCCCCTTGGGCAGGCAGGAGAAGCAAGCGGAGTCGTTGCAGAGGGCCTGCCTCTCGCCACCACGAGAAGACGAGCTAGCTTTGCTGCGCTGGGCTTTTTTGCTCAGCAACTCTGGTCACACTCATTTCCACTGTCTCCATAATCGCTGGCTGGGGTGTCTGTTTTGGTTGCTGCAGGGCAGTGGCACATGCTTTCAGCCCCAACTCCTTTTGCCCAGGSAATGAGTGGTAATGGTATTCCAAGCCCAGTTCCCAACTGCAGTGATTCTGCAGGTGCTTTATCTTCCCATCCACGCTGACCAGCTGGACTTTGGAAGATGCTGGGTGCGGATGGCACCCTATGAGGGCTGGGACCTGCCAGGCACAGCTGCTTGCTCTGTTTATTGTGCGAGGGCACCTGGCTTGCTGCTGCCCTATGCCAAGGGCAGGAGGCCCAGTAAGGGCTGGTGCTTCATGAAAGGGGGACAGGAACAGCAATGTGCTCCATGCAGCCAACCAAAAGGAGCTTAGCAGGGCCTGGCTGTGTGCAGCACCGCTCTCAGCCTGAACCCGTTTCCAACCCCTGGTGCTGCAGCTGTTGGTGCAGGCTCGTGGGTGTTGCTGCCACTCACAGAGGTGCTAAGTCCCTGGTTTTGGCTCTGCCTCTTCCCRTTTTACCCAGAATCTCTGCTAACTGAGCACTTGAGGCTGTAGCTTCCTTCCTGGAGATTTCCAGCCTCAGCTGTTTCTCCCTGCCCCCTCGCTTCCTTTCCCATGCCTGCCCTCCTTCCCTCTGCTTTAGTAACCCTGGCAGTGTGGGAAGGAGCTCYGCTCAGCGGGGCATTCCAGTGGCTGCCAAAGGCGCCTCTTGTGCTTGTTTGGCCACCAGCCCAGCGCAGGGGAAAGCAAGGAGCGGCAGCAAACCCAGGAGGAGTTTTCCTGTCAGCAGAGTTTTCTCTTGCAAGACGAGATGTGCTGCACATGAGAATTTCTGTTCCTAGTGCCACTGTGATTTCTTGATGGTCTTTGGAACTGGGAATACCTTTTCCTTGCTTCTGAGAAGCGGATTAAGCAACTGCTTTCTAACCTAATGGGTGCACTATGCCCAAGCACTCAGAAACGCCTGTTATGGCCGAGTTGCTTTTAGGTGAAGGAGTAATACAGGCTTGTGAAGGCCTCTGAACTCAGAAGGCTGCTCCCAACTGCCTGCTGCTGCTTTAAGTGCTTTGCAACATCAGGACATAACCTGCACAGTAAGAGTCCCAGAGCTGGTGGGCAGGGAGGAGCAGCACTGTCCTGGCATCCTGGTCTCTCTGACATAAATCAAGCCAGGGAGATTCAGGCCTGGAAATGAACCAAGACTAAAGTGTCTGAGCTGACCAGTGCAGCAAACCGTTCCAGTTTTGAGTTGGTCTCTTTCCTCTGTTCAGTACATTCTAGTGGGGAAAGTTTTGGAGCTTTCGATGACTTCTACCAGATATCAGGTATGAAGGAAAATGGAGGTGGATGGGTGGAGGAGAGCACTGGTGGAGGTTCAACTGCTGTTTGCTTTTATCATATTTGAGGGGGAGCTCAGAGGAAGGTGGCTCCTGGGTTTTCTTTCAGGAAGCTAAAAGCTGAACTCTAGGAACATTATTTTCATTAATCACCGGATGTCCAGAATTCCCCTATACTCTGCAATATGCAGGTTTAAAAATATCTGGTGGTTAATGAGGTTCCTGATTACTGTTTCTAGACAGGAGTAGGTCTTTACCTTTTATGCCATAGTGCTTGCTCCTTCTAGTCCTCTTCTCCAAGAAAAGCTCCTGTGATAAACCCAAATATAAAAGTCTTTTTCTTCTGTTGCTTGCAATACCAGATGTTGAGGAAGGAGGTCTTGAGAGGGCCACCATACATCAAAACGAAGGCTACCTAAATGTGTCTGAAAAACTGAGATTGAGAGGGTGCAGTCATTTTACAAAGGATAGAGGATAGCCAGGGTATATGTAAGAGTAGTTAGATGTGGGCATGATCCCTGTTTTGATCCTGACATAGCTTCTATCTGTAGGGGTCACATGCAGGCAATAGCCTGTAATGACTGCCTGGCCACAAGCCACTTAGCACTGGCTTGCAAGTGACCCATTGCATAATCTACACTTGATATTGGCTGAAGCTGCTGTGTAATGTTTCACCCCAGTGGGTTTGCAGGTCCCACTCTAAAATGAAAAATCAAAATAAGTTTTTAAGATTAGAAAAATAGTTTTATTGAAGGTAGGATAATGAAGTGAATATGATGTAGTGATACATATTAGTGTGTATTTATTTCCATTATTCTCCCTTATATAAATGCATTCATGAGGGGGTTTAAAATCCACTAAGCAGCTAAGCTTCTGTCCTGTCTGGAGTGACCTGAAGTCTCCATGTCTGAGATGACGCAGACCTACAGGCTGCCTTTGAAGCCTTCCCTTGTCAGAAGAGGGCCAGAAGCTGCCTTCTTTCCCCATGGTTGATGTCCCTCAGTGTACTCTCTCCATAGCTGATATGGGACCGTTACGAGTGGATGAGTAAGCAGTTAACCGAATGGTGATGGCAAACGTCATTTTAGTCAGTATTTGATTTTGTCCCCTTCCAGAGACTTCGTCTCCCTCCCTGAAGACTGGTGCATACATCCTCATTGCTGTTGGGGCTGTCACCATGCTGATGGGCTTCCTGGGATGTCTTGGAGCAGTCAATGAAATCCGCTGCCTCTTGGGTCTGGTAAGAGAATTCATGCTTCCTTTAGATCCAATGTCTGACACTTTTCCTGTATCTRTTGGGTTGTAGGCTCAGGACTCCTGGGGAGGCTACGTCTGCCAGGTCAGCTCCGGCCCAGTCCTCCTTATCTATTTGCATCATTTACTCTCTAACAGGCAGCACACTGCATTAGTAGATCCTCAGACATCACTGATAATGAACTAGCAATGTGATTTGGAAAAATGTGAGGATCTCAGTGGCAACACTTTTTTTTCCTGAAAAGGGGAAGGAGGTCCCCTGCCCTAAGGGGACCTCCGTCCTTTAGCCCCCTCACCCCTCTTCCCAGTTGGGGTTGTGGTCTGTGCTGCAAGGACAAGTATCAAAAACAGCCAGAGGGAGCAAGAAGAGTGGGCAGCTTCCTGTTGTGCTGCTAAGTTCAGCACTTGTGCAAAATGCAGTAGACAAGAGATYCTGTTAGGGACATCCTGTATGTCAGGACCTCCAGTTGGTTCATCTGTGCCAAATTTTCTGGCTGATGGATGCATTAGGAACTTCTTAGTGTCTGCTTGGGATGGACAGAGCCCCACCACTGAGAGCAGAGTGGACTGGGAATGAAACTGGAGTGGGAAAGGAAGTCCCAGCTGGAATGACATACAGAGGTGTTTCTCTCTCCTGAAGTCTTCCTTTGGTTGACCTGATGGGAGAGGCACTGAAGTGTATGGGCCAGGAAGCCTGTGAGTCTGCTTGTAGCTGCTGCTTGTCCTTGTGAGCACTCCAGAAGTTAAGCCAGAAGTCACTGGGGAGAGAACTTGGTTAGCAGAGCTTGTCTGTGGGGAAGGTGTTGGCTGATGCTTGTGAATTTTCCTGTCCTTGAAATCTCACAGACCTTTAAGCTTGACGGTGCTCATCTCTTCTGTTTTGCTTCTAGTATTTCACATGCCTGCTGGTGATCCTCATAACTCAGGTGGCTGCTGGGCTGATTATCTACTTCCAGCAGGAAATGGTGAGTATTTGTAACTGTTTCCCTTGCCTGCTTGTTTCTGTTGAGGGGCAGAGGGGTGATTGGGGGTGGAGGAGGAAATGCCTGGAAATTCTCTTAAGTTCCCAAATACAGTCTGGGTTATGCCATTCTCGGGCGTAACTGGATTCTTCCTTTTCTCTCTTACTTGCTGTTGTCTGCTTGTGCATCTCTCAGACCTAGTAATGCCAACTTCTCAAAGGATGAGAAGCTCTCTTTGCTTCGCAGGCTTTATTTTGGGTACTGGGAACAGTAAAAATTCCTGGAAAACTTTGGGTCAGCTTGGTCCTKGTTAAAAACCACCCCTTGGACATGCAGTAGAGATCACTACTGTGTTGCCATCACTGCTGCCTTGGCAGGTTGTCAGTCTGMATGTTACTTATCTGACTGACCTCCTTCCTTGTACCGTCTTGCTCCATGCTGTAGGACTGCTGCTCAATTTCCAGCTGTCAAAATGCTCCATGGGAGAGTTGTCCAGCTTTCCCCAGACCATAACCTAGTATCTGGTGAGTTCCATGCTGCAGTCTGAGAGACAAGATTTACCAGCTGGGTGAATCTCTTTGCTACGAGTGCAGTTGCACAGTGTAGCTTGAAGAGACTCATTCCACACTGCAACTCTGCACTACAATAAGCAATCCTGGRTCTCACTGTGCTGAAGCTGAACTGGGAGTTGCTTGCACCCAGTGAAAAGCTGCAGCTGGTGTCCTGCTGGGTCGCTGCTACCAGCTGCTGGGCATCCTCTCTKTGCCCCCTAGCTGTGCACTAGGTGTGAGCTAGGTGTGTGGTGCTGCCCTCTCCTACGCTGACGGCCCTGCTGGGAGAAGTGGCCTGTCCCTGGGGTAGCTCACGAGCTCTGTACAGGTGGGTCTGTCCCCGGGGTAGCCCATGAGCTCCGTACTGGTGGCTGCAGTGACTGAGCAGCCCSTGGCTGGCTTCCTCGCCGAATGCCCTGTGAATGCACAGCTTGCTGTGCTGCCTGGAAGAGCAACGGAAACGCTGGTCAGCAGCTGGTCTGCAGCGTTACAGCTTCCAACAGGCTGCCGATTCTCAGCAAACAGATCTGAGTAACGCAGAGGAAGAGGTGTGGGGAAGGGTATTTCCCTCCAGTAGAGAAATGCAACCTTTTGGACTGGGAAGTTCTGCACCTTCTTCAGTATTTCTATTTCTTAGTTTTGCTTTCCTCTAGAAAGTAGAGCTTTTAGAATAAAGATGTGAGGTTTCTCTTTTGTCATTATTTTTTAAAAATTTCAGGTCTTTGAGTGTCAGTCCAGGGAATGGATGGGATACCTGGAGATTACTTTGCACAGCTTTGGAGCCAGTGGGGTCTGTCAGGTCAGCATCTCTGTGCAGTGCTCATCCCTATTCCCAAGCCAGYAGAAGGGGCAGGGGAGTGTTGGGCCTCCTAACTGAAACCTCAGKTGCTCCTGATCAATCCTGAGTGAACAAAACCCATGGAAAAGCCTCTCTAGAGCTCTTCTGCTTCAGGAATCCCAAAGTACCTGCCCAGAAGACTAAGGAATATTGTTTCAAGAAGGTCCTGGCTGCCGAAACCTCCTACGTGCTGGTTTGTGGCTGTGCTTCAGTGATGCTGTGAATGTCGCTCTGCTTCACTTGATGCACGTCACCCAGAGAAGTTCAGAGTACAGGGAAGCAGGCCGAGAACTGAAGAACAATCCCTAGGTGTGCCTTGTGTTCTCCATTATTTCTTTTTTTCCTGTCTTCAGGAACTTGGCTAGCTGTTAAACAAGGAATGATAGGAGTAGATCCTCCTGGATCTGGAGTGTAGCATGGGTGATAGACACTCCTCCACTTATTACTGAAATCCCGCTGTACTGCAGCAGGTAGACAGACTTAATGTTGTGTTCTTCCCTGTCCAGCCTCCTCTTGATTAGTAAGTACTGAACAAATTCATGTGTTGGCCAGTGTCCYTTGCCTTTCCAGCTTTTGCTGGGATAGCTGTTTACAGTCAATATCACAACCTCTTTCCACCTTTGACCCGTGGAAACTTGCTGAAACAGTCAACGTAAGAGCAAGAGGCTGCGTCTCTGGCAGRGAGGCTGCTGTTTTGCCTCATGAGCACTGCTAGAGGAATGCCCCATGAGACTGGGATTGCCCAGTACTGCCAGGAGGATGTTGGTGTAAAATCCATTTCGTATAACTCTCATCTACTGAAACTTGTGGTGGACTGGGGACTTTTGTGAGGAAGACAAAATAGTAGTCACAGATTTGGCAGGTACCATTCTGCTTTGCAAGCTGAGTGTTGCTACTCGACTTAATCTCCCTGCATCACAAGATCCTAAGCACGTGTGAGTCCCAGTAATGTGTTTCTGGCCTAGTTCAGGCAGTTCTCTGAAGCTTGGCTCTRAAGGCCTGGAGTGAAAGGAGAGCAGTGATCTCTTGGGAATTGCCCTACTTGCTGTTTGTGGCAAACAGGGTGAGGGTGCAGCCACTTGCCTGGGGCTGTGCAGGATGCATTAGTTGAGGATCTGAAGTGACTGGGGGATGAGGGTCCCCTCCCACTGAATCTGTTTTCATGTGCAGGCTAGATGCTACTAAACACAAGGGGGACTGCCTGAGCTCAAGTCCCAGAGGGACAAGCTAGCTGCAGTGTTTGACAGTGGAGCAAGCTGGAATGATTCATTTTSTGACTAAGATTGGAATCAAGACACTCTGGCCTCCGGCCTTCAGCTTTCCCCTGGCTCCCTTCTTCCAGAAATGCGTGTGAAAGGGAGCCTGTCAGCCCTGCTGCTTTCTGGCAGTCCCCCCGAGCACTGGTGTCTAGGCTTTGAGTCCCAATGCTGCAGATGGGGAGTGGGGGTCGCACCTYCCCACCCTGGGTGCCTCGCGCTCTGAAGCACAGGAGCCCTGAAGCACAGCCAGCAGTTCCCTGGAGGTGCCTGCGCACACCTCCTCAGCGGGAGGAGGCAGGAAGGGTAGGGAAGCTGGTCTGAGTTCCYGTAGCCTCTCCCATAGCTGCTCCTCAAGTGAGTGACGGACGCGGAGCTGGCCCTTCGGCTGCAGGGGCCTGTGTTCTCCCTTGGGTGACTCCTTCAGCCTGTCAACAAGCTGCCTGTGCATCTCTTCTCCAGACCTGTACATTGTTGGTGTATTAAAATCCTTTTCTYCAGTTACCTTCTGAAAGCYTTAACTGTATGTTAGCTCTAGAACYRAGCCTGTTTGTAGGACCTCCTGCCTATTCTTCTTGCATGAGCACACAGGAAGGGCAGAGCTTTAGCCTCCCTCTGGAGCTCTGCCTGGGTGCCTGCCCCAGGCCCTGTCTYCCCTTGCAGTGTGGCTCTGAAGAGCGTCTCTGCTAGGGCCTCTTGCAGAAGTGACCCTTGGCTCTGTGTGGGCTGATGGCTGAGAGGCCACATGGGCCCAGGGCAAGGGAAGCCCAGCTCTCCTTGGCTCCCTGCATCCATGCAGAGCAGCGCTGTGCGGGAGGGCTGAGGGTGAGGAACTTAAAAGGCTTATGGCAGCAGCCAAGGCCAATCTTGTTAGTGAGAACCAGGTCAAGTTGCCTTGATTTGAAAGGAAGGAAAAGGGGAAGCTAAGTAATTAAAGGGGGAAGAGCTGGACATCATGAGAGGAAAGATCACAGGGCTCCCATCTGTCTGGCCTGACCTGGCTGAGTGCAGCGAGCCGAGCGGCAGCGTCCCCGGGAGGAAGAGCTGCTGGTGCGCAGTGCAGACTGAGAGCGTATCTGAAACCTGCTGTAGCACCAGACACAGGGGTGGCGTGCAGGGTGAGGGCATCCCCGCTGTCCCTCCTGCAGTCTAGTGACAGATCTTTGACCTCCTCTGATGGCGGCTGTCCCTGTGCCCAGGATGGCCAAGAAGAACCTCTGATGGAGGCGGGAGGAAGAGGCCTGCTGGGGTGGTAACTTGTGCCTCTTGCCAAACTGAGAAATGGGGTGAATGCTCTGCAAAAGGACTTGGGGTGAGGGGGTAGGACTTGCTGCTAGGCCTGTGTTTCACAACAGGGCTGTCAGGGAGCAGCTGAGACAGATGCAGTGCTTGGTGCTGCGGTACAGAWGCAGCAGTTGCAGGAGTTGGGAGAGGCAGGTCAATGCCTTCCGAAAAAGGGAACTTTCCAACAGCTGTAAATCAGAAAGCCCAGTTGCTTACAGGAGCAGGCAGTGACTCATACCCTCCCAGGGCGGCAGAGTGGCCTCAGCTGTGCTGGGAGATTAACCACAAGGGCTGAGATTTTGGGTCCAGATCTCCCTCGCTCCGCGAGGTCAGAGACGCGTTGCCTGCGAGCGGTAAGCCGCTCTCGCCCTTCAGCTGGTGCTCRTCCTCCCCCAGCCTGGGGCAGGCAGCAGTTGTTCCCTCTGTGATAAACCAGCGGGACCCCGTTTCCCCCCGGCTTCCCCGTTGTTCGGCAGGTTAGGGGCCCTGCTGCGTGCCCGGCACGGGCCGGCTGGGCGCAGCGGCCGCCGCGCCGCGTGGCAGCCGAGCTGCAGGCCCGGCGCGTGCCCCAGCTGCGCCCGCTGCTCGCCCAAGCTGGGGGGCCAGGGCTGCGTGTGCTGCTTCACAAGAAGGCTAGTTTGTGCTTGGTGCCGCTTTCTGCTGTTTTTCAGTCTCTCCTTAGCCTGTGTGTGGTGGGTTGGTTGGTYGGGGCTGTGTGTGGGTTTTGTTCTATGTGTTTTGTTCATTGTGGTGTGGGGTTTTTCCGTTTCCTTTCCTCTCCCCTTTGACTCTGTTTCACTAGAGCCTAACAGGTGATTTTTGGTTTTGGTGGCCAGTGGGCACGCCAAGTTTCTCTTCTGTGGTATCCAGTTGACCTCYATGCTCTATAACGCTTACTGACCCATGACTTCGTGGGTTTCTTGATGGGGAAATTTATTTACTCAGCTATTTTGGGTTTAGGAGTTGTGTGATTGCTCTGGTGTTCAAATACACTTTCCACCAACACTCCAAATGTATYGCTGCAGTCACTGAGGGGAGAAATTCATTCCAAGCCTCATCTTTTGAGGAACTCGAGTAGTGGTTTCCCTTGTGCTCYGTAATCTTGAGAATAAAGTTATTGATAGAGGAAACAGGAACCAAGAGTTAACTCTCTGCCTTCTCATAGAGCAGCAGGCCACATGCATCACTGAGATCTAGGCTGGATTTGTTTGGTTTAGTTCTGCCTAGGAAAAAAAATCTCAGCACATGCCATCTGGCCACGGAGAGGGATTTTACCTCAGTAAACCCATTCTGCATTGCACAYGTTGATTATGTTTATTGCTTGTTCTTAAAAACATAGACCAGACTGCAGAGCAAGCAGGTCAGTCTAGGGGATTTGTCACTGCCTGTGATGCTTTTTGGTTTTTTTTTTCTTTAAGCGTAGCTTGTGGGCCTCTTAAATATTTATTTTCACATCATTTTAATAATACTTTTATTTGTTTTTCTGCTGCAATTTTAAGAGCTGTTAGCATTCTGGGATTATGGTGGTCTGAGCCCTCCTTAGGTCTGCTACAGGGGCTTTGCAAGRGGACTAGAAAGATACTGTCCATTCCTGCATGTATGCATGTGTGTTTTGTTTGTTGCTGTTGTGGTTCCTGACTTCTCCACCTGCAGCCTGTCTCTTCTGTCTAGCCTCTCTCACTAGAACTGCCATCACAGAGATTATAGTTTTGAAGGTATCTTCTTYGCTCTAGCTCCAGTGAAGAAGGCTAGAGCAAAGTGTTTAAACACTAAAATCTTCCTGACCGTGGTAAACCTGTGTTTTTTCCCTAACATTAGGGAGATGGCTCCACTGCAGTTCTGGCACACCTCGTTAAGGCTGTCTTCTGCTCTAGACCCTAAAGAAAGGACTGTAAGGAATTAACCAACTTAACTATTTTTRTTTTCCAGTTGAAAGAAGAGTTGTCCCGCATAGTTGATAAACTGATTCAAACTTATGACCCTTTGAACGAGGAGGAGAAGAACTTGCAAGATGCATGGGACTACGTGCAGAGACAGGTGAGCCACTGGACAGGACCAGCAAGAGGCGGATGCTRCTGTTTTGCCAGAGTAGCCACTGTCTGATAAAACTAGGCTTAGGACAGGGAACAGGTATTGCCAGAGGCCTAGCAACATTTCTCCATCTTCTACCCTTCTTTTCCAGGCCTAACCTGTGCTGTTGACCACATCCTTTACTTTCTGAAGACTCCCTCTTAGCTCTGATTGTCATATGGTCTATCCTTGTGGTTCTCAGTRCTCGACCAGAGCCATCTCTTCTGTAGCATTTGACAGATGTGAGAGAACCTCATTGTTCATGCTCACCTCTCAGGTGTCTTTGACTCATATCTTTAGCATTGGTAATCGTTGGATAATACTATAGCACACAGGAAAAAAAGTGTGTATCATGTAAAATTAAGTAGGTATCTGTTTAACCAAGTTGAGAGGCTTTTATAATTCTGTCAGTCATGAGTGACTGTAATGCAACATTTTGTGCTCTGAAACTTGGMTGATCTAAAGAGCTGTCCATGAGCTTTGTGGCTTGTCCACTAGAAAGCTGTCTTGCTCAGTAGTGCTAGATAAGACCTCGAACCATTCCTATGTGCTGGCTGGTGGCTATCTAGCCCGATGTGTGTGGCCTGTTACATGGCACCTCAGTCATTCTGCTTTTTCATTTATCCACAGGGTCTTCAGAATGACTTGGTTTGCATGCAAGTCACCATGCAGGCTATTTTTGTAGTAAGAAAAGTCCCTAGCTCTTTCCCAGGCAAGCCAGCTGCACTGACTGCCTTGTTCCTTGGTGCAGTTGCTGGCTTGCTGTGGCAGCTYCTGCGAGTGCCAGCGTTCCTGGGAGCTATCCAGCTGCCTATGGGTTCTGCTTTGGCATTGGGGTCAGTGCTTGAGCAGCTAGGTCAGTCCGGAGGCACRCTGCAGTCGTGATAGCTGTTTACTGCCAAACCTCAAGCATGAGAGCTGGCCGTCTGCTGTGGTTAAATACATGTCCAGCATGAGGCTGACCTGTAGGAAGTACAAGGAAAAGAGGTTTCTTCTGTCTGCTCTTGTGACTCTGCAGCACTGACTTGTGTTTTTCCCCCCTTTGGAGGGAGAATGATTTATTCATGTTTTGTYACTGTATTTGCAGTTTCTTGTAAAAGACTCAAGGAGTTTGCTGTAAAGAGGATTCTGCTTCTGTCCCTCTCTTGTATAGGAGCAGAATGAAGTTTTGCAGAGGTGTGAAGTGTTAGGAATCAAGTTCATCTCGTATGCTTGAGTTAGCAGTTGTTGGGCAGAATTGGGGAGTTTTGTCCTAACAGACAAGCCCTGTTAAAAGTCCTAGCCTCCATGAGACAGAGGTAGTTCCTTCTAGAGGCTCTTAAATGCTGAATTTTCAACACTTCTTCAGAAACCAAATGCTAATCTGAGTGTGGGTGTTCAGCTGTTCATGCCTGCACTCTTGTGCATGTCATCTCCAATTGAAATATGCCATTTCCCTTCTGAGAAGAGAGGGTTTCCCTAGGCTCCCACCTCAAGTCCCACCACAGCCTCCCTGCTCTGTGCCCCTGTGAGAGCGCAGGAATCCACGCTCACAGCTAATTCCCAGATCCCAGCCCTTGCTGGACCTCATGATGTGCTTTTTCCCCTCCAAAGTCTGCAGCTGTGTCACGTGCGGGTGTAGGAATGTAAATGTCCCGGTGAATGGAAAACTCCGGTTGTGGCAGCGCGCAGGAGCGAGGCGGGCGCAGTCCCGCTCCCGCTCTGCGGGGTCTGGACGCCACCGCGCGGCGGCTGCTGCTCGAGTCCAAACGGACCCTCCACCCTTAAACCGAGGGAGATGGCACTGCCAGTGGGAGGCTGGTGGTAGGAGCCCTTCGTGGCCTCCTGAAACGTTACCGTGTGCATCTCTTGCCTGCATGGCTTCTTTGCCATATCGGTCTGTTGACAGTGAGCTGTTGGGACTGTAAAGTCTCAAATGTRTCTCACAAGATGCTGCCCTCCTCCAGCTGACTCACCAGCAATAGCTATTTTGAAGTACATATATTTAGTACTGTCACCTTGAAGTTAGATTAGGCTTTCTAGTGTTTAGTCTACAAAAGCTGTAGTGAAAAATCTCATTTTGTAGAACTGATGCTGGTCTCTGGCTTTACTGAAGTGTGAATATCTAGGCTTTCTCCAATAGTCTCTGCATCTTTGCATATCCTGGTGTGTTATGCTCAAAGTCTRTTAGGAATGGCCCTCTGACTCTTGTCTTGTTAGCAGAGTGATCCTTGGGTAGGAAATAATGTCCTGTTCTTTAGGACTGCTACATGCACAGGTTATTGACTGGCCGCTAGGATTATGATTTAGTGAAACTTTTTCACACAAACTATGTGGCTCAGCTATTGTTACTGCATGGAGAGGTCCTCTCTGATTTGTTTTTGCCTTCAGTATGTTACCAAAGTGCTAAGACCATGATGCTTTATTTCTGTTCATTAGATTGCCTGCTGTGGCTGGGAGGGAGCAGAGGACTGGAAAAACAATGCGATTCTCATCAACAAAAGCTTGACTGAATATCCCTGCTCCTGCTACAATGGTTCAGAGGACTACGTGACAGATATTGGTTTCTGTACTGAAGGTCTCCCTTCAAACAGCACTGCGACRTTTGCTGACTGGCCTGTTCATCAGCAGGTGAGTGAAGCTCAGTCCTGTGAAGCTTTTCATTAAAATCATGTTGTCCTTGCTCTTCTGGGAATTATTTTAGAGAACTTCTTCACTTCAGTGCTGCTTGAAGTGCCCGTGGAAGTTGGGGCAATGGGCAGTAGCTAAGGGATCCTTCCTGCCTTTCTCTGGTGTTTCTGTGAAACTTACTGTAGCATGCAATTGGCATAATCTCTACATGCCAAACAACTACATTATGGATTTTTAGTCTTCAGATGCTTAGATTTCTGCTTCTTTCCCCGTGACCATGTTTTTTTCCTAGGGATGCATGAATGGTGTCCAGAAGTGGCTGAAGGACAACCTTGGTATCATTCTTGGGGTCTGCACGGGTGTTGCTGTTGTAGAGGTAAGTCACTCCCTGCTATGTAAACCCATCTTTCCATGTGGACTCTTATTTAAAACGCAAAGCTATGCTTTTCCAAGCAGTAAGACATCTGGTTTAAGGCAGTGCAGTTATAGTTCTTGGTTGTCTACCTGGAGCTTTGAATTCCTCCATTTATGGGCTGGACTGAAGTTGCACGAGCCCTGTCTACTTGTGGCTCCTGCTAGTGTCTAGTATTTGGGAATTCATTGCMTGTATAACCAGGAAGAAGGAGACAAGCTGCGTCCCACTGCTGGGATCCCACTTGTTGCCTTGAACAGCCTGTAACAAAGATCTGCATCTTCCTGCAGCAAAATATTTTTGGCAATCTGTTGTTTTAACTTCCCTTGGTGTATTGGTGTCTAATTCTGTCCGCTTGAGTGGTGTCATTGAAAGGAGACCTCTGCATTCTGCACCCCTGTACCCACCTCCTTATCTCTTTTGTTGTTTACTGACTTCCTGCTCTTCATTACTCATTGCAGCTGCTGGGGATGATACTGTCCATTGCACTCTGCAAGAACATACACAGTGAAGACTATACCAAAGTGCCCAAGTCTTGAATCTGCTGACCCAGAGCTATGGCACCACGGAGGAAGGAGCAAACAGAACATTCCTGCCTCGTATCCAGACTGTCCAATCGTTGACCATTATTCCTGTGACATCCCATTTCCGATACCACTCTGCTAAGAACAGTTAGAGCTGCAATATGGCCTGATATTCTGGCATTAGGGCCCTTGGGCCACTTGCATCCTGCCCTGGGTTTATTTCTACTTCAAGAAGCAGAACTTAACTCTCCTGTATCACATGAGACTGATTAATCTGAGGGGACAATGCTTTTGCTGCCTGCTCCATGTTATACAATCCCATTCATATCTCAATTCTTCTACAATTCACCAGACCTAATTCTCTTCCCTCCTATTCCTTTTCCCTGCCACTTCCCTATCTTCCCAGAAAGAAAAATAATCTTTGTCCCATAGTCCTGTTGAGATTCCAGTGCTTCAGCCACTTCACTGAATTGGGGTGATAACTAGTCATGCTTTATAGGCATTCTCTTCCCTTGCAGTTACCCCACGGTGCCTCTTTCAGCCTAAACTGTCATCTGAAACACTGAGCACTACCCTCTGCTTCTGGAGTCAGCCAAGCCTTGCCTCCAGCAGAGCTCTGCTGTGTCGTGTGGTGGGAAGGAAGGAGTCRGGCCTACCTGTTCCAGGGGTGGCCTGGCACATCATCGTGGTGGTGCTCAGCTGCTCTTGGCCCCATGAGTTCTGGAGTTGACACGTTTCTCCCATTTGCCTTTCTTCCTTGTCCTCTCACCCTAGCACTGCTTTGCTGGCTCCTGTCAGCTTGGAGGCCCTTGGCTGCGTGGTGTGGGCTAAGCCTCAGGCTGCCCCTGCTCGTTGCATTCTTGGGTCGCCAACTTTTATAGAGGTTATGATTACTTTGATTGTCCCTCTGCTCCCATTATGAACATAAGATTTGCTAGTTATGGCTTTTAATTATGAATATGGAGGATATCTGACTGGATTGCAGACTCTTTCTTGGAGTTACCTCTGCTACTGGTGCCCACACTTGGGCTGTGTAGTTTGGATGTAAAGATAAGTTGCTTTTAGTTGTCTAGTCTGCTGACTCCACTGTGGTCTGGAGCTGTGACTGTTGGCTGTCCTGAAGCCTGCCTTGAGGGAAAGCCCTGCAGCAGATGAATAGCTCGTTTCTGCGCTGGTGAAGGCAGGGTAATTTYTCTGTTTAATGGCTGGGCTGTTGGCTGCATTCAACCAATGGCCAGAAACAAGGAGTGATCGAGAGCATACAGAAGTAAGAAATGCAAGTGAAGAATTTGCCCAGTGTCTTGGGTAAGAAAGCTGCATGCAAAGCCTCACTCCTGGAGGTGGCTTGGGCAGAGCAGAATTGCTGCAGTTGTGTGTGCAYGTCTGTAGCCTGACAGCGGGAAGTGATGTGGGAGAGAAGGGCATGGTTCTTGTCTGAGACCTCAACTTGAATACAAGGCACTTGGTGAGAGAGCCCTTGTCTTTTCCTTACAGATGTAGTCCAGAAACTGAGTCCTGTTTCTTGTCAAAGCTAGGGTTGATRGGAAGAGCTCTAGAAGCAATTTAAAGGCATGGCCTCACTGCCTACTCTGTTTTCCTTCTGACAAGAAATGGTGAAGGCCCCTTTTTAGACACTTGGGCTCTTAGGAGTGAGGCCATGCTCAGTCCTCATCTCTGGATGAAGTGATGACTGGGGAGAGTGGATGTAACTGGGCAGCTGACTTCATGGAGGTCTGATAAAGCTTTGCTATTTTGAGAGGCCCCTGTTCCCTCCCACACAGACCCTCCAAGCTGACCTTTGCTGTAGCAGAAGGCACCCTTAGCAGTGAAGCTTGCTAGCTTTTGTAGTACCAAGTCTATTCCGTAACATGTTCTTATTTGTAAGGTTCATGTTCAGTTACAGATGCCAATGCTGAGCAGCAAGTAAAAAGGAACCTGTGCAGGGTTTTCTTTTTTTTTTTTTTCCTGTTTTTAGCAACATCTTCCCACTGGAAGAAGTGCATGTACAGATCTAAAGCCTAGAGGGTGAATATTTCTGTAATAAAGACTTTGCTATATAAAAAACAAAAACACTCTGATGAAGACTTGTGCATTGCATTGGTTTTCCCTTGCTTTCTCTTTACCTTTCTGCTTTACATGCWATCTACTGACACCTTGTTTATTCAAGGTCACAAATGATCTGTCAGTGTGAAATATATACCAGTATGCTCTGAGCAAATATATATGCTCATATATAACATATATATGTTATTTTGAGGCTTGCTTTTGGGATTAATGTGAAATATGAAGTTATCACCCATCAAAGGCAGGTGACAATTTTACTAGGCTATATTCTAGTATAAAATGTGCCTTGTTTTATGAAGGTGAGCTTTAGATGACCTRAGTGATGGTTCATTGGAATTACCTGCCATCTTCCAAGCTGAAGAAACTCCATGTTTGAAGGTGTCACTTCAAATTATGATTAGACTGCACTGTATGAAGTAATAAGCTTATGGGACTAATTCTGTGGGCCCCTCCACCCCCCAAAAAAGAGCTCGCTACTGTGCCTGCAGTGTGTGCAGCACATGATCTCTCCCTCTTTTTCAGATAGCTGTATTTCTTGCCCTCCCTTCCCATCTTCTGCAGTGTGCTCTGTTAGAAAAGATTTCTTTGCTCCTGTTGTGCCACTGTGAGGAGGAAGAAATTTAAAGTAGCTGTTTTTGTGGGTGATTCCATGATACCCTAGGTTTGAGTGTTTGGAAAGATCTTGAGAAATAGATAAAGAGTATAGGGTCTCTTCTCTTTGCTAAGCAGCATTGTGAAGCAGCTGTGAGATCTCTCTCAAAACTTCTTCAGATGCTGCTGCCCTGTGGTGAGTTGCTGGCTACCTGCACACATTGAAAATGACTGTTCTTAGACCTGCRTTTCCTCTCAAACAGCATTGAAGTGTGGAGTCATTAGTTGGGTAGGGAATCCTAAACATGGCATTAACTCCTCATGTGGCCAAAGAAGCAGCGTGAACTTGACAGCTGCCAACAAACACTCCTCAAAACTGCCGTAAAGCCAAGACTTCAGTTACCTTGACYTGGGGAGCAGGGATCAAGAAGTGCTTAAATTGACCTTGGAGAATGTGGGATCACTTGGGGCGCAAAGAACTGCAGGTAAAAGTTGTTTCTTTAGGCTGTGATAAACTTTKCTCAAGGAAGACTTGATTCACAGCTGTGTGGCAATGCTGTCCCAGGGATTCATACGTTATGATTTGTGTTGCTTCAGGCAAAACACTGAACCTGGCCAGATGGCTTCTGGTTGGGGAGCATGTTGCTGTTTCTCCTGCAGTATCATCTGGAGCTGGAAGGAGAAAGCAGTGAAGAAGACTGTCCCCAGTTTAGCCCCAACAACCTGAGCTGTGTGGAAACAAGTTCTGTTTTGCCACTGGAGGGAGATGTTCCACAAAGAAACCTCAGACCGGTTGCTGCAATATCATCAGCTTTGACTGGTCCCTGGGGGAAGAGATGATGACACTGATGGCTTCCTTCTGCTAGTAGTTACTCCTGGCAGCAGGGTACCTAAAATAACTTGTAATTACAAATGTATTCTCCKTGTAAACAATTTGTGCTGCCTGCTTGGTATTTTAGGGACAGACTTCCCAGCCTGACATCCCTTGGAGGCAGCATGCACTTGGATATTTTGTTGCATGTTCTTCTACTACTGTATATGGGTTGTGCTTCCTTCTTGGGTTATTGCCCTAAGTATCTCTGGAACTTGAAGATGGTGTGAGGAGCTACTCCTTCTCCTTTACTTATCCCTTTTCCCCCTCTCCCCAATTCCTTTGGGTAGTAGGTTGGAAGAAGGGGGTAAATACTTTCAAAAAAAGTTTGATGCTTACAAGCCTTTTCTGGAAATTGACTCCTAGAGCTGGGAACTGCAGAGAGCAAGAAGCTCATTGCTGCTCCCRTGGTGTGCTTGTAGCTTGGACCAAACTCACAGCTCATCTCCTGAAGTGAACTTTTGATGCCAGAACTAGAAACAGGAGTAACACATGGACTTTGCTTCTCAGGAGCTGCAGTGCTTGCCCAACAAAACCTGTAATGCAGGTGTCTGTAGCAGCTTAGCATGTGGAATCAGACTGTACACCACCRATAAGCTGCTATATAGATATCCAAGTCCCACAACAGCACAGTTGTGGCCTCAAGTAAAGCCCTTAATGAAATGGTGACATTCTTCGTTCTGCATGATCACAAGGGTCTTGAAGCTGCTGTAATTGTCCCCATAGGATTTTTTTTCTGTCTGGAACAGGAAGAGGACTTGCATTGCTTACAGTCGGTGTAAGTAAGCCTACAAGTTGTAAGGCATGTTATCTATGGTGGCTTCTGCATGGCACATACCCAAGTGTAACATGTGGCTGCTGCTCTTTTCAACTCTCTTACACGTGGTGATGTGGCTAACCCCTCTAAGCTTGGCTCAGAAATTGAGGATGAGTTTGATRGGCTTCAAAAGAGCCCCATGTTCCAGCTGCTGAAGGACAGGCTGCAAACAGGGGTGTCAGATTCTGTGCCTTAGTTGGGGAAGGTGAGTAACAACAGTGATTGAGCTCTTTGAAAACCTTAAGGAAACATGGGATTTCTACAGATGCATTTTTGCAGTCAGCTTCTGCCACTCGATGCCATCAATGGAGAACACTCTCAATTATTCATGGGCTGGCTCTAACCCATTAGCCTCAGAGACTCTTGGCTCTAGCCCTGACCTTTATCACACAGAACAAATACCAGTTAGCAGTCAGGATTTCTGAATGAGACTTTAAGACACGTTGACACTAGAAATTTTTTGATATGTTTGCTATGAAAGTCTTTAGTTGTTAACTGATAAAAGATCTCTAGCTAAGGAATGAGTGAAACAACGCTATGCTATCAGTAGTAAGCTGTTGCAAGCTAAGCTAGTAAATGTGTTTTAGCTGTTATAAACCATCTCTAGCAGATGCGTGCAGACACAACACGYGCAAATTCTTGCCTTGGGGTAAGAATCTCTTCTGCCAAGCAGGGGCAGCTACCTTCTCTTAAGCAGGGATGATAATGCTAGCCCTTGACTGCTACTCTTCACATGTATGTGTTCTCTGATTTCTCCCTTCTAAGCTTCTAGTAATATAATAGATACTCTGTATCAGGGAAAGAAAGAGTAGTCTCARCTCTCTGGGAAAACAAATATTACCCCTCTGTAAAATATAGAGTGTGTGAAGGATAATGCTCCAAATAGTAAGTGACTGCCCTGAGAGGCATCTGGCGGGGAGAGAAGGGATTTCCCTAGTCTCCTGAAGATGGTATTTGTACACACTTAATGAAGTTTTATGACTTGATGTTCTSCTCACTACCCTGCAGCATCATGAGGTGGTTTACAAGTCCCTGACAAGCCAGAGCTAAGTAGAAAATCAAAGAACCTACTTATAGAAGTACTACAGGTCCCACCTTTCTGAGGTAGGTATTTCCTTTATTTGGGTTCCAGCTGATAGTAACTCCTATTCTTTCACAGTGTTGCTTTCAGCAAAAGCAGCCAGGTTAGGGTCTATTTTCCTATGTCTWCACGAGGCTACTGTGCTCTTCTTCTACACCCAGGCCAGATCTAGAACTGCCAACCCCAAACCCTCACCATGTGACCATAGTTGYAGTCCCTGTCTGTCTGACAACTGGYGCTGACTCCTGCTAGTGCTATGTGTAGCCCTAAGCTTTCTCCATGGTGTCTCTTCTTGTCCAAGCAATTCCGTGGGAAGTTCTTGGTCTCCATTTCTTTTGGGATGTGGCTGCCCTGGCCATGTAAGTGACATTGAAGGCTGTGATAGCCCAATGCTCATTTTCCTAGTCTCTTCCAGCACTAAGCTCTAGCTTTCTTGGGTTTGTCCTGCCTAGAGTTACACACTGGACATATGGAAGTTCTTTGGAGACAGCAGGAATCTCAGAGCATATGATCATCTGAATTGCTTACCCAGCACGCTTCCTGGGTTTTTTCTACATAGCACTTCTGGAAGCTATTTAGGATTTACCAGACTAGAAATGTGAGGTTCTGTCAAAACCATATTGTAGTACAGGCTTATGCTTTAGGCACTGAACTTGCAAAATGATGTCAGAACAGTGTAACTCATGCAGTGATGTCTGCAGACATCCGGGAACAAGAGCCCAGCAGAGAGAAGACCTTTACTTTTGGCACAAGTTGTTCCATGATGCTCTTACGTATTTGAAGAGAAGCTGTCCTATTAATACTATGTTGTAAATGCCTGGTTAGCACTGTCTGGAATTTATTTTGGCAAAGCAATTGTTTTTTCTTTCGCTGGAGGGGAGAAATTTCTGATGGAAGGATTTTTCCTGCTGTCTTAGTGGGCATCTCATAGCAAACATTACGTAAAAGAGCTGGAGTTGAACAATGCATATTCCAAAGTGTAACTTAACAATAGAACATATGGGTGTTCTCAGTAAACTCTTTTCCATGGGAATAGCAGGATGTTAGCTGCTCTGGAGGAAGAGGGGCATTTTTTATTTTTAAAACTGCRTTTCTTAAGAGCTGGAAGGTGAAATAAAGGGATGAGAAATTATTCTAGGTATTATGATTGCTATTCCCTCTGGGTGGAATTAAAGACTGGGAGCCCTTGCAACTTCCCTTTCAAGCAAAGATGCCTTTAACAAACGTCATGCAAACCAGGCCCACTCTGACACGCTATTTCCCTGGAAGAAGCAATTTCAGGGCTTTCTTTTTTTTTTTTTTTCTTTTTTTTTAATGATTCATCTAGGCCTTAAAAACAGTTCTAAGTCTTTTAGTTTTAAGTAGTATGCAAAGCAGCAGTGAGTCAAGTGCTCTGAGRAATATTAGAGAGGCTGGCTGTAGAAGTTGGTGCC